CACAGTGCTTCTCACACACATTATCCAGCACACCACAGTTAACGCTACGGAGAAAGAGTAATTGCAATATACTGTGAAAAACAGCATTTCCTAAATAAAAGTACATGAAAATGAAACTGTCATTATGGAAAAAACTACATGCAGGCCATTATTTAATTCCAGGTTCTTTATAGTGGAAAAAAAATCTTTATAGTTTATTAAAATGCATATTTTTAAGAACTTTTCTCTAAAAGTCTTGAGAACCCAAAAATGGTGCTTCAGTGATCTTAAAATACTGTATGGCCCTTTTAATACAATTTGTTGCAGTTTATTTCAAATGTAATTGACTAAAATAACAATGGTTCATTGTAAATCAAAGCAAAATGAAATATATATATTTAATAAAATGTTCCTCCGTTAGACAATGTATTTCAATGAGCTAAGATTTAACTTTCAAAACATCAGGAAAACAAAATAAACCCTTACCTCTTATGTTGTTGAGAATCATCCTGACAAGACACAATAAATGAAACTGTAGCACAGTAAGAAAGTTTTACTGGTGAAATCTACAACAAGAAGAGCTGAAATACCCAACTGATGAAACACTTAAAGGGTCACGAAACACCAAAACACATTTTTTGAGCTGTTGACAGTCGTATATGTGTCCCACACTGCTAAAAACAGGAAGCTTACTGACTTAAAAAGGGGATGTATTTTTTATTATTACTCTACATTAAAAACACATTATTCCACCTTATTGTAAATAACTGCTACATTTTAAAGTATTTCAAATATTTTTTATGTTTAAATTACGGTATACTCATCATGTTTTGATTTCCTTATAATCAATGTTGAATATTTTTGCATTATACTTGTTTTATTTTTGTATTATGCCGCAGTCACACTTGTGTATTTTTAAGCTTGCAGAATTTGGCAAGCTTATACTCTAGTAACTAGAGTATAAGCTTGCCAAATTCTGTCAAATGGCATTCCGAAAAGGGGCGGGATTAAACAAGATGATTAGAGATTTTAAAAGTGAGTGATTGGTCCATTTTTAAAATTTCTGTCCAGAGAGGTCATGTTTTGATCTTCGATTGTTCTTACACAGTCAAATAAATTGATTTCGTAGGTTAGAGTTCACCAAGCTTGAACTTTGCAACGCAGCAAACTGCGAATCTTGACGCACGAATTTGTGTTTCCGCCAGTCTTACGCATTCGCGTGCATATGAATGGAAGTCTATGGGGAGAAAAGTCCAGTGTGACCGCAGCTTTAGGCTGACAAAGGCTTAAATTAATAAAAAATAGGTCTCGAGAGCTCCCCTGAATTCATTTGTTCAGCCTATTCCTTGATTATTCAGGGTTGACAACTCTACAAGCATGTGTTTATGCAATGAATACCCTGTAATAAAACTGTTAAATTCACGTATAAATTACCTGTCAAAAAGTAAAAAATCGATCCAATTGTAAGAGCATCAAATAATAACTTGACTTAATTGGAAAAACGGCAGAGAATTGATTTGTCCGATAAATCATCTGTTAAACTGCAACCCAATCATTACAAATACAGCAGAAGACCTTTTGGAACCCGCATGGACCAAAGATTCTCACAGAAATCAGTCAAATTTTGTGATGGAAAAATCATGGTTTGGGGTTACATTCAGTATGGGGCGTGTGAGAGATATGCAGAGTGGATAGCAACATCAACAGTCTGAGGGCCAATTCTTCAGCAGGATAGAATTCCTCATACTTTAGCCTCCACATCAAAGTTCATGAAATCAAAGAAGGTCAAGGTCCTCCAGGATTGGCCAGCCCAGTCACCGGACATGAACATTATTGAGCATGTCTGGGGTAAGATGAAGGAGGAGGCATTAAAGATGATTCCAAACAATCTTGATAAGCTCTGGGAGTCCTGCAAGAAAACTTTCTTTGTCTTGCAAGAACACTTTTTTTGCCATTCCAGATGACTTTATTAATAAGTAATTTGAGTCACTGCAGAGATGTATGGATGCAGTCCTCTAAGTTCATGGGAGTCATATACAATATTCATTCTTTTTCCACTGCACCATGACTTTATATTCTATACTGTACATTATTTCTGTTCAATGAAGTGACGCAATCTATCCTGGATTAATCTAGGAAAGAGGGGGATGAGTAGGGGTGGATAAGGGGATTCTTTAAGACGAAAATGACTAAGGTAAGAAACTCTGGTTATTTATGTGCATTCAGATTCGTCTGATTGGTAAATCATATGATAGCTAATGCAGGACCAGCCGTGGTCAATCATAAGCATGTGATCCTCTTGAAATTAGTTTGGAAACAAACTTCACTTAAATTTCTAACCTAATGTGACCACAATTTGTGATTTATTTATTTATTATTATTATTATTTGTAAAAACAAACGTAACCCTGCACATTCCTTTATTCTGTTATGGCCAATCAGATCTAGACCTTTGGTTTTGTAAACAATGATGCTGATCTTATCACTAAAAAGTGACTCCAGACTGTGCTTTAAAAGCCATGCCTCATGATCCCAAACTTAGCCAGAGGCGTCTGCTTGTCCTGAGCGACCTGACTAGCTCTCTAATCCCGCCCGGCTTTAGTGCTGCTCTCTGCACGTTACATAACTGTGAAAGAGCAGATTACTGAACGTTTGGCCTTGCATTTGGCCATGTGCGTCTCTCAGAGATGCTACAGGTGCAAGAAAGTGTGAGAAAAACCTATCAGGAGATCTTTGTTTACTAGAGCATAAAATATTTATTAATACATATTTACAGGATCTTACAACGAATCACACATATTTACAAGCATTATCATTTTGTTAGCTTTCACACTGCCAAAAAATTTCATTTTATTAGCAACTGAATCACAACAAATGTCTCTTTTGTGATAAAATAGTTTTGCAAACCAGGAATTTAAAGCATTAAAAGTAGCATAACTGTTGTTAATTTTGCGTTGTCTTTTTTAATTACTATTAAATTATATGTTCATGCTGGAAAGTGCAATCTAAAATATTTATAGCTGAGGATAATTCAGTTTTTATATTTTATTTAAATGTAGAACTCATTCTGTGATTGTTTGTTTACGTCGAATGATGAATAGATATATTACTTATATTTAATGTGCATTTTAGGATATCATATAGAACAAATGCTGGAAGGAATTAGCGGGATGCACATTAAATTCTAAAATTCACTCAATTCATGCTGTTATTTTGAGAAAATGTTTACAAACTACAATAGAAATAATTTACAGAAAAAAAATCCTCAATATGTAAATAAATAAAAATAAAACTGCTGCAACAGATCTTGTGACTGGATGACTGAACTAACTAGTCTACCAATCTCAAAATCACTGTCAAAAAATTTGTTTTGTTTAATTTGTACCATCTTGAATGTTTTGTGGTTTGGTGCAAACCAATTATCTTATAGGAAATTCAGCTGGCTGCTAAAACTTCCATTTTTATTAGTAATACTTGCAACAGATTCCCATGTAACAACATTGTTTACGGGATTGAAAAAGTGCTTCATTTGCTAAATGTTTGTGCAATATTCTATTTAGCAGCATAAGTTAAATTCACTACTTTGGATGGGAAATTTGCTAAACTGTCCCCTTGAACTGGCAATATTGGTAAAAAGGGATTTTGTGAGACAGGAATGCACCACTGAGGTTTCAAAATGCGCTTCCTCTTTTCAGTGTTCTTCACAGCATTGCTTCACTTGTCCTGTATTACCCCACATGCAACTACAATAAAGGATGTTTTAAAGAACACAGAAAGCCAAACTTTCCAAAAATTTAGACCTAACATATTGTTTGCAAAAACAAAACATGTAATACATTCAGTATGTAAATACTTGCAAACTTATTAAACTTAATTGCAATCATGCAGTTTCAATCACTGCATTTTTTTAATACAGTTGAGAGTTCAATAAGAGGTTCAGAACTTTGGAACACAGCAAAATACATAACTACTACACATTCCCATATAAATCCTGCATTTGCAATGCAAAGACCATACAATACATAAGACATGTCACTTTTTATAGCTTTGAATGGGGGAATGTGTAATGATCTATCATTTATGGCAGAAGAAAACCCCGGCTTCTAGTAAAGGAGACAATTCAGTTAAATTCAAGCTTATTATAGTGCTTTTTTTACAATAATTATTGTTCCAATCAACGGTCGTTATAGACTAATGATTCTCTCGGGGAGGGGCTCCGTCCAAACTTTGGTTTTTACTAACCTGCTCTGGGGTCAGCAAATGTGTTGTAATCTCAGTGAATACCTTACAAAAAAAAAAAAAAAAATATATATATATATATATATATATATATATATATATATATATATATATACACACAAAAATATATCTACATAACACTTTCTACAAAACCAACTACACTTGGAAAGAAATGTTCTCTGATTTTGTAATTTGTTTGAACAACATATTCTGAAAACGTAGCCCTATATACATTTCTGGAGATTGCAAATTATGTAGCCAGAAGTATGTATGGCTGCATTTCGTCTTTAAAATGAACACTACGGGGCGGTCTGATACTGTTCCTTACCAGTTCCTTACCGCTTACCTGCATGTGGACGGCTTTCTCGCTGTTATCAGTTTGTCTAGTTAGCTCGCCAAGTACATCTATGGACTTGAGACACAGAGAAGAGCTAACCACGATGACAGGGTTCGAGTCTGGCGAATAACGTTCCAAAAAGCAGGTAAGAAAAAAACAAATGCCAAAAAATAAAGTAAACAAGTAAATAACGATGGGAATGTGGTCAAATATGAAAACTGTCGGTTGGGTTCTGGGAAGTGGGTGGATGGGTCAGTCTGTGCTTTTGAAAACACTATTGGTTGGGTTTAGGGAAGGAGGAGGATGGGTCAGTTAATCAGTCAATTATTCAGTCAGTCTGTAACAGCGGCCTCTGGTGGACTTACGCCAGAACATTAGGCGCCAATGGCACTTGCGAGAGAAATTTGAGATTTCAAAAAGCATACATTGTGACCTCTGGTGGATTCGTGAAAACAAAAACTGCAAAAAAATTGTGGCTCCTGGGACGTTTTTGGCACTCTCCAGAAATGTATATAGCGATATGTTTTCATAATGAGTTTGGATTGTGTTTGAAACAAACATAAGGGACAGTCTGTCCCGTCTGACCTCATGAATTCCTGCCTTCACCATTCAAACACAAATGCAAACACAAACAAAGCAGTCAGTGTCGATTGTGGAGCAGATTTGCCATTAAGAATAAGTTACTTCAGAAGACTAGCATGATTGGACATGTGTATCGGCATCAGCTTGGGCAACCTGAATTTGTGTGTGTGTGTGTGTGTGTGTGTGTGTGTGTGTGTGTGTGTGTGTGTGTGTGTGTGTGTGTGTGTGTGTGTGTGTGTATGATTCAAACTTTTATAAACCGAAAGTCCTTAAGAGACTGTAAGGTTCCATTTTATAAATGAAATACAATTTTAAGTGATCATTAAATTTAGACTGATTCTAATTCATCTTACATATTTACCTCCATGAGGAAATAATGAGGTCAAGAAATCTATATTATCTTACGAGTCTGTTATTAAATTTTAATGTTGATTCCAACTATAAACTGTAGGCATTTCAAAGATGGCCACTGAGTGAAATGACTTGCCTTAAAGGGACTTCGATATGAATAAAGGGAAGACATTGTAACCAAAGTGCATCACTTTCAGTCAGTGTATTTATTCTTTTTTCTTTTCTCCTTGTCTTTGCTTTTTTTCTCTTTGTCCTTCTCCTCCTTTTCCTTTTCCTTCAAGGCTTTTTTCTCTTTCTTCTTCTCTTCCTTGGCCTCCTTATACTTCCACTTTGGAGGCTCCAGGTAGCCCTTATCTTTTTTGTTCTTCTTTTCTTTCTTCGGAGTTGGCTCGGAGGATTTGGTGACTTTGATCTGTGGGATGCAGCCGGAGGGGAAAATGCTATTGCGCCTTGATGCTACGCTACGAGGAATGAATGTGCGCATACCAATGGACAGCACACTGCCCCGTCTCTCAGTATCGGGACAGCAGGTCATAGACACAAACTCGGCTGAATGGAAAGATGGAGACACAGAGGAGATGGAGCTGTTTCGGTGGCACAGTGAACTCTCCTCCAGCAGTTTCTCAGAGTGCTTTTGCATCAGCTCAGCCACAGCCAGCCGCCGTTTACCCATCTGTGGAGGGCTGCTCGGGCACAGTGGTCGTGTAGCTGTAGCTATGAGTGGGCTATGCAGACTGGTGGTCATTCGCACCATGTGATCCATGACACCGTTTTCCACTGGGTCACGTGGGAAGCTGAAACCGAACCTATTCTTCAAATGATGTGTCAACTTCTGACCTGCACTCCTGTTGGCTGTTGCTTTGCTGACCAGCACCTTGAGGTTGGGCCACTCGGGAACGTAGGTATCACAGAACTGCTCCGCTGTGGGATGGAGCGCAAGGTGGCGCAGTCGTTTCAGCGTGTCAAAGCGGCCCGTCTTCAGCGCCCAGTCACGTGCACATTTACCACGATTGGAGTCTACAGCATTTACATCAGCACCTGAGACAGAATGATTTAAGAAGTTGAAAACACCAACTCATGGCAAGGTACAGTAAAATGCATGCACAATAATGTGGACAATACAAAATGATGCACAATTGTAAAAAAAAGAGTGATTGAACATATGAATTCTGGGAAACATGGTGGGATTTAGGTCCTTCCCACATAGCAAAATAGCCCAGCTCTGGCCCACACAATCAGCTTTTGCTTGTCCCACATGCCGCAGTGACTTATGGTACATGACTGGACCAAGTCTGGCTTTCAGACAAGGGCCAAACATGGACCATATCTGGGCCAAATACTACATTTTACATCTGTCCCAAGTATTGTGTACCGCTTTAAAGACAGAGGCACCTCTGCCAAACCCAGGTCATGTTTGGCCCACATGCTGTATGCCAGTGCCAGATGAATGCCTGCAGTGCTAAATTTAAGCCAAATCTGGGCCAGAATTCTTTGCTACCTGGGTTCTGTCCTAGTTACACTGTCTTGTTGTCTTAGGTTGACAGGACTTGACAGTACAAGTGTACTGGATGTGGTCTAAGTTTAAACTTAAATAGGTCAGTTGTTGTAATTACGTTGATACAACTTTATAATTTAAACGTAATGGACATGGATTAACTTTAGTGAACTTGACTCTCTCATTCACACACACAATATGGCCAATTTTGTTTATTTAATTCACTTAAACCGCATGTTTTTTGGGAAAACGAGCACCCAGAGGAAACCCACATGAGCAACCTGCAAAGTCCACAAAGAAAGGCCTATTAGCCCAGCCAGGACTCGAACCAGCAAACTTCTTGCTATGAGGCGACAGTCCTACTGAGCCACCGTGTCATAATAAAATATATATAAACAGAATTACAAAATGCATACAAATACAATTTTAAAGCGGATTTATTTCATTAAAATGTATTCATTTTAATTTGCATATATTTGTACCAAGGTATTTGATATATATTTTGATATATATATATCTCAATGGATTCAATCCAGATAAGTTAACATAACTACAAATATTAATAATAAATATGTGATAAATAATAGGCGCAATTATTTTTTTTACAGTGTACTGCTATATTACATATGGTTTTCCCCACAATTAATTATTTTTGTTTATTTCCCCACAATTAATTACTTTGTTTTTTTTTTGTTTGTTTTTTCTTTTTTTCTTCCCTTTTATTTTAAATATTTTTTCTTGTATCGCTTAAAATTGTCCATTTTCACAGACAGACACACACGCACACACAATAACAAACAAAACATATTTAAATGTTGATTGTTGGCAGTCAGTTTGTTATGTTTGGTTGTATTTATACAGTAAACGGTTTGTATAAATTGTCAAAACCCCTATCATCTCAAGAACCAAAAACAAACAAACAAACAAACAAATAAACAAATAAACAAACAAATAAATAAATAAGTAACAGAAATCATCCACTGCAAAACTGACCTTTTACTCAGCTGATTGATTCATTAATCTTATGGGTTATACTGAGGTGAAATTGACCAATGCCAGCACACCATTCTTGATTGGCTGTGATGGTCATTTGGGGATTTGGTGACGTCTTTTCCAAGAAATGTGATGAATATAAGTAATGCAAAATTCACCAAGATATCATCATGTGTGTGTAACTACTAACCGTGCATTATAAGAGCAGCCACCACATCATTCCTGCCCTGTATGGCAGCTTTAATGAGGGCAGTGAATCCTCTGTTATCTCTGATCTCTGTGTCTGCTCCAGGGAAGTAATTCATGATGTAGTTACATATGGAGACATGACCTGTGTACAAAAAAGGTTTCAGGCTTGTTTTTCACATTGCATATTGCACAATATATTAACAAATTAGATGAATTCCCTAAAGAAATTACAAATTTTGACTCAAATTGCATATAACATGAAATTTATTCTATTTATATATAAAACATTCAATTATCCTATGTAAATTAGAATTTCAGTACTATGTCCACAGAACTCAATACTAAAGTACTAATAGCAATAAATAGCTGAAACAACTGACCAGCTTGAGCGGCGATCATAAGGGCGGTGTTGCCGTCATTGTCTTGGTGGTTAATGTTCAAATGTGGGCACCCATGCAGCTCATACACTATTTGAAGAAAGCCTTTATATGCAGCCACCATCAGTCCATTCTACATAAATAAGTCCAAGAGACACATATCATTTATATTGAAGTGCATAATGTTTCATATCAGAAAGTAACTTTTTCTTAATCATACAAACTATATGATAATAACAAAGACCAGACATAACCTGCAGGCTTTTTTTTGCTATTTCTGCTAAAAATTTTGTAAAAATTAAAAATTAAAAAAAAACCAGCGAAATGATTTTGGAATTGTAACTAAAAACTTAAAACATTTATTAACAATATTTTCTTTAAAAATTAATACTTTTCCCATGCAAATCAATCAGAATCAATTATTTGGTAAACAAAACAAGTTTATCACTTAATATATCTACTAAAAGACTTTTTGCATATTAGTCAATATTACTGTAATATCAAAATATTCATTTTTCTTTGGCTTAAAGTTCTTTATTTATCAGCGGGTCACCACTGCAGAATGAACCACTAGCTATTCTAACACGTTTTAAGTAACGGATGGCTTTCCAACGTCAACCCTTTAATGGAAAACATCCATTCACTCACATTCATACAAACTCATACACTATGGCCAATTTAGTTCATCTAATTCACTTGAAGCACATGTCTTTGAACTGCTGGGGAAATGTGAGCGTTTAGAGGAAATCCACTCAAACAATGGTAAACGTAAAAATTCCAAACAGAAATGTCAACTGACTCAGACGGCACTCGATCCAGTGCCCTTCTTGCTGTGAGGCTAACCACTGAGTCACAGTGCCGCCCATTTACACTCATTTATATAAGTAAATAAATAGACTCAGTGATAGACAAAAAATGTGAAGAAATCTGCAAGCGCAGATTCCATTTAGGCCTACTAATAACTCTGCAAAAATTATAAAATACTTATAAATTAAAATGCTGTAACACAAATTGATTGGTTTATAGTGTTAAACCCGGTATTATCTTTTTTTTTTTTTAAATACAATGTTTTCAAAATACTGCCCATTTGCACAGATGACAACAACTAAAAACACATAGTTGGCCAAATCACTTTGTAAAGAAATACTATGAGCCTGCATGCATGAAGTTTACCAGTGTCGACCATTGTTGTTTTGGTAATAAAGAACTCATGCATCTCTACATACTAAATGTAATACAAATGCACACAACCTCAGTTGTTGCTCTCAAAACATTAAAGGTTTCATAGATTACACAGGTTTGTGTTAAGGCCCATTTTAAATGTATTCCACTGTACATGTACCGTATGTTTATTGATTTTACATATTAAAGGCCATGGAAAAATCCTCCAAATGTCATTATAATAGAACAAAAAAGATTTCAAGATTTAAGATAAGTCTTTTGTGTCTCCAGAATGTGTCTGTAAAGTTTCAGCTCAAAACACCCATTAGATTATTTATTATACCTTTCAGAACATTTGAATTTTCTGCTCTGATTACTATGTAGCTGTTTTTGTTGCCTCTGCCTTTAATGCTAGTTCTCCCTACCCACCGTTCCCACGTGCCTGTCAGAGTGTGCCTCAATCTCCGCCTCAGCTGCATCAGATAAACAGCACAGTGACAGACATGAAGGAAGCAGATTTAAGAACTTTACCATTGATTGTTTGCTGTATTCATTGTGGAGTTAATTCAAGTCTTTCTGCAATGATGAGTAACACACAATGTCGTTTCAAAGTTCACACACACACACACACACACAGTGCAAATGTGACAGAATACACGTTAATATCCACTGCTGTATGGATATCCGTTATGTTAACGTACAAATAAACCTGTGGCTAATGTACTAACATGCTGCTGTGATGATAAAGACAGTAAAATCGCTGTAATTCACTACGAACATGCACTGTTTTAAATACGTTTTAAACTTGTAAAACTTATTCTTGATCACATTTGATGATGATTGATGATCACAGAGAGCTGAACAGATCTTTTAATCCCAGTTGCTTTGTGCATATCCTGTCTTGTTGATATGACTATTTATTTTACTATGAAGACACGTTAACACGTCACGTTGCGATCGACCTCAAAATAGGAGGGATTTGGACTCTTGGATATTTTGACGTCAGGATGTTAAAAAAAAAGAGACCTATAATCTTTATATCACTCCAATATGATTGTGGACAAACTATACCTGCACACAGTCCTGTCCAAACAGCTTACAAAAGATGATTTTTATCATAGGTGCCCATCACACACCCCAGTCGTGCTGTAGGTCTGTGCCATCTTACAAATAACATTACATTTGAATTTTGCATTCTACATTTTTACATAAAGAGTACATTTGAAAGTACTATGTATTATATTTATCACTTGTTTTTCCTGCTTTATGATTGGCCAGTCAGTCTTGTGCTTTCAATTACTAATCAGCAGCATCTTACCCATCCATTAATGTCAACTTCCATGACCTCATCACAGGTCACACCACGTTCCAAAATCCTCTTCAGCGCTTCTGGGTCATTCTGGACACAAGCCTCATACAGTGTGTTGGCAGTTCCCTTTTTCCCATCCTCTAGTTCATACTCAGGGAGCACGGAATCTTCAGACAGCAAACTTCCAGAGTCTGTGTCTTCATCCAAAAGTGAGATTTCATCTCCATCTGGGCATGACCCCAGGTGGGGGTCCTCAAAGCCAGAGCTCTGAACTGCTGCCATCCCTTAACAGATCAATCTTGTCTACAGCATCTTTGCTGGCATCTGAGGAAAGTGTCTCAACATGGTTGCAGCAGGTCAGAAACCCGAGGTGAAGGAATGCACTCCAAGTGTTTATGACCCCTGTTTAGAAGTAAACAGACCAACAGAAATAAACCTCAAGACTCTGATCAAGCAATTGAAGATTTAAGAAAAATACACTGGTACCAATTGAAACTATAACTGTTCAAGGACACAAACGTTTCTGATGCAAGACAATTGGGAGTTTTAATAGCTCCGGATTTGGCCTGGGAGAGCTGTGCTTTAATTGTCAGTGCTAAATCTGGCCTGATCAGGCTTAAAATACACAGAGACCTGTAAACAGGCTTACATGCTGTATACTCTAAAAACATGTTACCTCAGTGAACTGTCTTATAAATAGACACATAAATTCTTACAACAATTTACAATTGTGAATTCATTCATTATAGTTAAAAAGAATTGTACTTCTAAAACAGCAATAAATAAAAGAATTCTCATGTGCATTGAACCTAACAAAATACTAACGATCCTAGGATACTAACTGACCTCAGTAAATCTAAAAAATAAATACACCTCTTCAATAAACTAATAATATAATCAGATGCTCTCAAAAGCTACAGTCTGTCACAAAGATGTCGAATAAATACATAAATATAGAGAGTAACTCACCTATGTCCACATTTCAGAAGAAGAGTGTATCCTGGTATCAACTTTTACAGCGCTATTATCAGAAAATTCAGATCAGCTTCCAGAAAACACAGCCATCAGCATCACGTCTACCTAGTGTGTGTGTAGTATGTGATCATAGATGGGCGTATGCATGCTCTGTCAGTACACCTCAGGTCATTAGACCGACTAATGCCTTTCAGGATCAGAAAGGATCCAATGTAGACATTCGCTGCATAATCACCTTTCACATACAGACACACTCACTCTTACAATGGTCTTTGATGCTTTCTGTAAGTGTCACACTGACAATTAAACACAAACCACACAATTCAACAACCTCAGAATGCTTACTAGGATTTAAGTTTTAAAATGTTTTGTGTATTTAGTGATCTCAACAATATTTCAAATACAGTGGGTTGTGTTTGGTTGTGTTTTTGTATTGAATTTGATGTATAGCTTGTTATGCCAGAGGGATTTAAGGATTATATCATGTGTGGAGAGGTTAATTAGTCTATATTTGATTTCACGACAGCGTGACGTACTTTGCTAACAAAAAAATATCCTTACATGATCAGGTTAAATGTTTATTTTGTAGTTAACACTATTTTATGTGTCCTCTTCGGACATTTAAAATGAGGCAATGTATCTCCATAAAGCTGTCCCATAGAAATGTATTTGACTACTGGGGCACAAATAAATACTGATAATCTTTACATTACTATCATCATCATCAGTTAAACAACCTATAATAAATATGTTGCAAAGCTCAATATAAAGCACAAGGTTGTGCAGAAAATCACATAAAATGGCAAAAAAGTCTATTATCATGAATGCTTCACAAAACATTATCTAAATTAAGTATGTTAATCCTCCTGTATTACACCACCCCTTAAGGAAATGAGTGATCATTGTTATACAAGCACACAAATACACGTCTCACACACACACACTGGTCCTACTTTATATTAAGTGGCCTTAATTTACTTTACTTTGCATTAAAACAACAAGTATAATGTACATACTGTATATACTGTGTATACTGTACATAACAAGAACAATGCAATGGGCCCTGTAAAATATAAATTGGGTCAATAGTGTAATTACAAAAGTAGTTACAGACATTAATTGCAGATTTATATACATGTAGATATTTAAAAATATACAGGTGAAGACTGAAGTCCCCCCGAATTATTCGCCCCCCTGTTTATTTTTTCCCCAATTTCTGTTTAACGGAGACAAGAATAATAGTTTTAATAACTAATATCTGATAGTTTATTTATTTTATCTTTGCCATGATGAGAGAAAATAATATTTTACGAGATATTTTTCAAGATACTGGTATTCAGCTTAAAGTGATATTTAAAGGTTTAACTAGGTTAATTAGGTTAACTAGGCAGGTTAAGGTAATTAGGTAAGTTATTGTATAACAGTTGTTTGTTCTGTAGACTATCTAAAAAATCGCTTAAAGAGGCTAATAATTTTGACCTTAAAATATTTTTAAAATAATGTAAAACTGCTTTTATTCTAGCTGAAATAAAACAAATAAGACTTTCTCCAGAAGAAAAATATTATTAGACAAACTGTGAAAATGTCCTTGCTCTGCTAAACATCATTTGGAAAATATTTAAAGCAGAAAAAAAATTTAAACGGGGGCTAATAATTCTGTACAGACATAATAAGTTCATTGTACCAAATAATTAATTTAAGCGTATATGAAAAAGTGGGACCACTTGTTTAAACTGAATGAGGTGGATTATGTTATGAAGTACCTGATCAGTTATAGTAAGATCATTCTTAAGAAACAAAATTTAACAGATACAGCTGACATGCCTGAGAATTTTATCACATACTGTAAAAATAAAACTTTTTTATTTGATAATGCTGAACTTATGCGCTGAAACTCTGTTACATTTATTTTTTATGTTAATGTTATTAATGTTATTTCTAAGCTTCACATTAATGTTTTGCTCTTTTATATTTTTAGTAAGCAACTATTTACTATGGTTATTAAATAGTTTTCCCTGTGGAGGCAGGGAAAATACTGTATCTAGAATAGCCTCAAACAGGCACCTTTCGCCCCAACCCCTATAACCCACACAAGCATGTATGTTGTCTTTATATAATGTTGAAGACCTCCAATTGACTTTTTTTATCCATATTTAAATTGATTAGACTAAGCCTTAGGAAAATGCCAGATCCTTTCCCTTTGGGACTTGTGCTAAAAAAGGTTTAATTTAAATTCTTTATTTATGTCTGAAATTGGAGCCAAAAGCTAAACCTTTTTGCTTATTTCTGTCTCTCTCTCTCTCTCTCTCTCTCTCTCTCTCTCTCTCTCTCTCTCTCTCTCTCTCTCTCTCTCTCTTTTTTTTCTCTCTCTCTCTCTCTCTCTCTCTCTCTAGTAAACATGGTAAAAAGTAGTAAAAAAAAAGATACAAATAAAAATTATATAAACAAAAAGAAATAAAAATAATATATCTTATTATTCAATATATCGTAGTATTTTTATTATTATTGTTATTGTTATTATTATTTTTATTATTATTATTATTATTCATTCATTCATTTTCTTGTCGGCTTAGTCCCTTTATTAATCTGGGGTAGCCACAATGGAATGAACCGCCAACTTATCCAGCAAGTTTTTACGCAGCGGATGCCCTTCCAGCCGCAACCCATCTCTGGGAAACATCCACACACACGTTCACACACACACACTCATACACTACGGACAATTTAGCCTATCCAATTCACCTGTACCACATACATGTCTTTGGACTGTGGGGGAAACCGGAGCAAACTCGCGCGAAGGCAGGAAAAGCATGCAAACTCCACACAGAAACGCCAACTGAGCCGAGGTTCGAACCAGCGACCCAGCGACCTTCTTGCTGTGAGGCAACAGCACTACCTACTGCGCCACTGCCTCGCCTTATTATTATTATTATTATTATTATTATTATTATTATTATTATTATTATTATTATTATTATTATTATTATCTATCAATTCAATTCAATTCAAAATTGCTTTGTTGACATGACTGTAACTTATACAAAATTGCCAAAGCTTGAAATATGTAAATATATATATATATATATATATATATATATATATATATATATAATAACAATAAAATATCAAAATCAATAGAAACAAAATATAACAACTGAAACTTAAATAACAATGTAATAAACAAGAACATTTTAAATCTCACAGTGTTTAACATTTAAACACACACACACACACACACACACACACACACACAGAGAGAGAGATTAAGTCTCGCTGTAGTAGACAGTAGGGAAACGTAGCGTAATACACACATTACACACAAACATAATATACTGCATATGAGTCTCTCTCACACCCACCCCCCTCTCTCCCTCTCTCTCTAACCCAGGAAGGTCAAGATGGAGCAAGCGGGTGTTGGAGAAAAGGGAGGGAACTGGTGGCAAACAGAAGAAGAAGAGGAGATAAGAATGTGTGTCAGTGATTCAGAAAAAGCTGAGTGTGGATTAAACTGGACAGTACAGGACAGTAGAGAAGACAAAACACAACAATCAGCTATTTTCCGCCATTCATCTGGAGACAGAGAAAGATGAAGAGTTTGGCCAAACTTCAAGGCAACACAGAGCAACTTCTGATGTCTTTATCAAACACCCTCCCATCTTTGACCCTAAATAACCAGCAATGGGTGAGCAGACACACATTTGTATTGTTTTTAAATGGGAAAATGCTCACTGTAAAAAGTGAGTTAGTTAGTTCATTTTACTTATAAAAGTGAGTAAACCCATTGCTTTTAAGGTAATTAGTTCACTTAAAAAAGTGAGTAAACCTGTTAATGACGTAGTATTATTAAGTAAGTGAATTGTTGAATAATTATAAAAATTAGGTCAACTTACAGTAATTACAAGTTACCACTTGTTTACTCACTGTAAAACCCATTTACAGTGCACTGTAAAAAGTGATTACTTAAAGCGAGTAAACCAATTGCCTTAAATGCAACAAGTTGACTTTACAAAATAATGTACGTAAACCCATTGTGACTTTTTTTTAAATAAAAGTAAACTAATCACTTTTTTCCCAATACACCTTCATTATATTTGCTTCCCCCCCAGCTTTTCTGTATCATGCAAAATGCCATACAGTAAAATGAATCTATTCTTCCAGACTCCAGTGTGTCTTCTAAATTCCATACAGGCTACAATTGTAGATTTTATAGACTTAATAAAGTACCAAATACGTAATATTGTGATAATTACAGTAATTATTTTAAAACAGACATGCTAAAATTGTCTGACACTGTAAAAGGGTTTAGTTTACTTTAAAAAAGTAAGTACAATTAGCATAATTACAAAATTGAGTCAACTTAACTGTTCCAAGTTGTAATGGGTGTACTTTATTTTTGTAAAGTCAACTTGTTGCTTTTAGGGCAATTGGTTTACTCGCTTTAAGTAACTAATCACTTTTTACAGAGTGTAGACAATCTATTTTTTACAGTTCTATCCTCAATAACACTAACTACAAACTCAAACCCAAGATTCTTTGGCTATGTTTTATTTTTATTTTGCTATACTGTTAAGTGCACACACAACGTGGACTACCATTTAATCAAATCAATAAAGACTTATTAAGAGAGGCTGTTTGTGTGTTTTAGTATATAACATACACATTCCAGACAGCTGATGTGACTGATATCACTATCAGTAAATGGCTAAGAGTGATAAAAGAAAATCTGTGTACACAAAATAAATATAAACACAATGCCTACAAACTAATTGGAAGAAAGAAGAAATATGACCAGATTTGACCTCTGTTTTCTGTTTTTTTTTTTGTGATGAAGCACATCAGAATCTAGAACACGCTCTGATACATTTATCCCACATTACCCTAAAAATGATCACTGCGAATAATAAATTGCTGCACATTTTTTAAATTATATTTTATTTCAACTTATTTATTTTATTACTTTTTTCTAATAAACTTCTCATTGTATTAGATCGAAAAAAAATTTACATTTTATTTTGATAAGTTAAAACAACATAACAAACATGTGGTGCCATGGCTTGCTGATGATTTCATTTTTACAGCATGTTAATAAAATGTGCACCAGTAAAATATTTGTAATGCTATTACTGTAACAATTTACGATCATTCCAACAACACTTTAACACATTCCTCTACAACAATACGAGTCTAAACACTTGTGATTGAAAGCAGGTCTGTTTTTTTGTGCCTTAGGGGTACATACTTTCTGTAAAACCACATGAAGCATGTAAGAAACTGTACTGTACCTAGCATTTTAGTCGTTCTGCTAAATTGCTGTGTCAAGGATGTTCTGTAGTATTTCCATTAACAGAAAATGATTACTTCGTGGTTAAAACTAAAGCCTTGCCAAACTTGTGACAACAAGTCATTAGCTCAATACTACTGCTGATATTGCTCCAGGTATAGGCCAAGCTGTCAAATGTTTTCTGCAAATGTTGGAAGCAAGCAAAAGATAAGGCCTCCTGCACATGGTTAAATGGATGTGTTTCTACAGTAGATATTCATGTTCAATCAAGCTTAAAGAGTGTTGTCATAAATGTTTGTATGTTAAATGCAACTATTGGTGAAGGGAATTAATCATTTTTGATTTTCCAAGTCTATATGTTAATGTTCTTAGAAATCTCAACTTGTAAGAGTCATTTTTTTAATTCAAAATGAAAATAACTAAATAAAACATTGCTATTGCAAATGTTGTAATACAAAGAAGTGTGATGAAGCATATTTAGATTTTTCCTAATGATAATTGTAATATAAAAAAGCATGTACATATCTTAATTAAAAGTTGTATTATATTGTCATTAAATTAACATTGTATTATACAGTTGAAGTCAGAATTATTAGCCTCCCTGTTTATTTTTCCCCCAATTTATATTTAACAAATATAAGATTTTTTTCAACACATTTCTAAACAGATTAGTTTTACTAACTCATTTCTAATAACTGATTTATTTTATATTTGCCATGATGACAGTAAATAATATTTTGCTAGATATTTTTCAAGATACTTCTATACAGATTAAAGTGACATTTGAAAAAGCTTAGGCAGGTTAGGGTAATTAGGCAAGTTATTGTATAACAATGGTTTGCTCTGTAGCCAATCGAAAACAAATATAACTTAAAGGGGTTAATAATTTTGGCCTTAAAATGGTTTTAACAAATTAAAAACTGCTTTTATTCTAGCCGAAATAAAACAAATAAGACTTTCTCCAGAAGAGAAAATATTGTGAGACATACTGTGAAAATTTCCTTGCTCTGTTAAACATCATTGGGGAAATATTTGAAAAAAATAAACTTCTCACTTCAACTGTATAGCATTATTGTTTTGTCTTTGATGTTCTCAGATTTAATACGTTTTAAAATGAATTTGAGAATTACCACATTGGCACATTGGCATTTCTAACTATAGGCTTAATTTTGTTCAAGTGAAATATATTTTCTTGTTAGTTTGAAGGTTAAATGTTTTCCAGAGACTCACTCATGTCAGTCTAGTTTGAGGAGGTATGCGGTCTGATTTAGAGTTATTTGAATCATTCAGGTATGGACATGCATTTGATTGCTACTGTGGAAGTAAAGCTAGCTGCAGCTCTGCCCATTCAGAGCTGGAGGACACTACTAAATTTTATGACCTGTTTCAGATCCAGGAACAAAATGAAGGGTGTCTTTTACTGGAAGAAAAACAGGGTTGTTCAAAGAAGGGTGCAGGACCGGAAAATGAAAAACAAAGCTGGAACCAAAGACTCGAACACATACCTGAGGACAAAGGTGAGGGGTCAAACATACCCTGTCAAAATGTTAAGGAGAAGGAGCTTTTTTATCCTATTGAGGAGAAATTCTCTGTCACGCATACAGTGAAAGCACAAATATCTTACCCAAAATGAACCTTTACTCACTATTTACAAGCCTTCAGGTTGTTCCAAAGTTCATTTCAACTGTTTGGTTACCAACATTCTGTAAAATATTTCATTGTGTGATCAGTGGAAGAAAGAATCTCACACTAAATATGACAGAATTTTCCCTTTTTAGGTGAACTATCTTTAACCCTGTAGTTCACCTACAGTGCCAGACTGTATGTATATGAAAGTAGCAAAATTAATGTCAATTTAAAGTTAAAAAAAAAAAAATTGAATTGTGGATATTTTAAGAATAAGTTTTAACAATTACAAGGAGATGAGTAAAAACAAGAACAAAACGCCTCGGTCAAGATACAGTTTGTCTTCATCTGGTGAATATTTCGCTCTCTATGTACACTCCAACATTTGTGATTTAGCAATGAATGTCAAAGAAGGACTTCATTTTCAGCCAGGCAGCCCAAAGGCTTCCAGTGAATTCATCCCACACAAATTTGCCGCATTTAAAACCTGATTTCTTAAAAAAAAAAAAAAAAACAATGATCTTTCACTGCCTAGCTAAGATACAATTTAAAGTGGGCATCAGACTAAACAAGAAGTACTGCAGTATATTATATTTTTTATAAAAAATAAACATTAAAACAAACATTTTATAATATAATAAATATTATATTTTATTTATATTTGAATTACATTAAAACATAGATGCTGTAAAAGGAACCTTATTAAATTGTAAATAGTCACATAAACTTTTGACCGGAAGTTCATAAGTGGCTGAAGAACACTAACGTTAGCTGTGCATAGTTCAACAGAAAAAACAACGTGTTCGGGATGTCTCCATAAGATGGCAATGTTGGGCTCATGACCCAATACTGGAGAGTATCCCATCAATTTACCTTTAAAGGAAAATTCTTTCTTGTACACGGTGGAAAATGTAGCTTCCATTAGCATTAAGTCGACATGTTTGACGCACGTTTCGGCTTCCTGATTCTCCACCTGACGTGTTTATTTAAGTTTAACGTAACTCTTTTCACTTGAATATGTTTGATTATTTTTTTCATACAGATCATGTAATAATATATGTTTAACCAAGAAATCTGAATTTTACAGCTGTAAAAAAAGTTTTTTAAAACAATTTATGGCCTTCAAACTTCAAGCTTTTAAAAAAGTTTTCTAGTAAGGGTTTCTAAAGCAAGCATTAAAATTACTCCTAAAAAATCTTTTTTTATCGACTGTAGGTTGGCTATTTCTCTAGATGTGCATAAATGAACAGCAATTAACTGGCAATCAGCTCTTTTTTTGAGAAATTTGAGAGAGAGAGAGAGAGAGAGAGAGATAAACAATGCACTGTCTAAAGAGAAATACGAGAAGCCTAAAGCATTTACCACATCCTTCTTCACATGCCCTTTCTCTCCTCTTAGCCTCCTAAAGGTTAAGAGTTCAGAATGAATATCTCTATGAATTCGAGCATGATTCAGCGATGTGGGTCTATTTGGATAACGACACAGGGATTATACAGATGTTGCGTGTGGATTCAGAGCTCAGGGATTACCTCTAAACTGAGAGTAGGAGTGTTCATATCTCTGTAAACATCGCCAGAGTGCCACTGCCATGCTGCAGGGTGGCACGGCTGTGTTTACTCGGCTGATATGAAGGGGCATCGTGGCCCACGGGTATGTGGCTGTTCACCCTTCTGTTGGAAGGTTTTGGCCAGGTGCGTGTGTTGCTTCAATCAGAAAGGTAAGACTCTCACTAGTGTGTGTTGCTCTGTCATTTTTGTACTATAGCAGGTTTAATTTTGTTCTGAAACAGCATTTTGTTTTAGTAGATTTAGCTGTTTTTGTGAGGAGTCCCCTGCATACTTGACCAAAACAAAGAGATTAATTAACAAGGTCTTAATTCATTTGAAAAAGATTGCTTGCATGTAACTGAGCTTACTAATTAATAAACATCATCCTGCTGCTGCTTCATTATGTTGCTTGAAAGCTGTAAAAAATTACGATTTATTTAATTGTTGTGTTGTCTGTATCATTTTGCTCGAGTTATACATTTAAATGTGTTATTGGTGATGCATTATTTGCTTGTGAATAGTTGCTTCATAGGCTATATTGCAGGATTATGTTTACGTCCTTTAGAAACAGCTAATCCATTATGTTTCAGATAGAAAAAAGTAAAATCCTTTCAGTTCTGGTCATCATTCTCTCTACTAAAGTCTTACTTTCCTTTTTGTCCTTCAAATAGGGCATGTTTTCACCATATTGTACAGTAAAGCTTTTAAATCAAAGGGAAAAAAACCAATCCGTTTTAAGCTGTATCATCTGCTTATAAGGCAGAATATACTCCATGTGCTGCCAGTTATTTTTGTGGAAAATTTTGTGCAAAAATAACTGCAGGACTAATAGTGGTGGAACTGGAATTTCCCTTGCTGTACATCCATCTTATTACTCTCTGTCTCTACAAGTAATTCTGTGCAAGTTTGTGGTTTTTATTTTTATTGTCCAAATAAATTACTTAGATTACGCATTGTTCAATAATGTCAGCAAAAACTGTTGGAAAAATACATGTACAGGTTCCTTGCTTGATTGTTACAACTTTTAACTTAAAAAATTATCATTCAAATATGAAACGTATAGTATTTTAATAAACAGAAGAACTTTTGTTACAATATAAGTCAACACATTTCTGGATATGTTGCTTTAAAATCTGTACTCTCTCTTTCTCTTTCTCTCTCTCTCTCTTTCTCTCTCTCTCTCTCTCTCTCTCTAGACTCGTACACGTTAACTGGGCTCAGTGATGTCTCCTTGCCTCCAGATGATCCTCCTTCAGCCTCTGTCTCCACTGATGACCTTTCTCCAATCTCTCCCAGCAACCATCAGCTTTTTTCCAGCAGACGAGCATCTGTCACATCCACCCGCTCCATCAAGGCCTTCAAGAGGTGGCTGAGCAGCCCGGTTCGAAGGCTGAGTTTGGGAGGAGGAAACAAGAGTCAGAGTTCAAAGGGAATTCAGAGCCCAGAAGGGTCAACCTACATGTTTCTTCCTCTCTCACCTGCTCAAAGCCCATTGAGCCCAATGGAGAAGTCCCAAAAACTGACCCGCTCCTACAGATCTCTGGTATGCACATAATTTACCTTGCTGTTTAGGGGTTGCAAGATTTATTTTTTTAAATTAAGAGTGCTTTTAAATGTAAAAAATGACAGTACAAATATTATTGTTACAGTTATTTTTTCAAATAAATGTAGTTCTTTTGAACTTTCTGTTCATGAAAGAATCACAAAATGTAATACTTTGCACTCAAAAAAATATTAATCATAACAACTGGTTATTAAAGTAATAGAAATCTAAATATACTCACCGGCCACTTAATTAGGTACACCTGTCCAACTGCTTGTTAACGCAAATTTCTAAACAGCCAATCACATGGCAGCAACTTAATGCATTTAGGCATGTAGACATGGTCAAGACAATCTGCTGTAGTGCAGACCGAGCATCAGAATGGGGAAGAAAGGTGATTTATGTCACTTTAAACGTGGCATTGTTGTTGCCAGATGGGCTGGTCTGAGTATTTCAGAAACTGCTGATCTACTGGAATTTTCACACACAACCATCTCTAGGGTTTACAGAGAATGTTCTGAAAAAGAGAAAATATCCAGTAATATTGATGCCAGAGGTGTGGGTAAAAATGGCCAGACTGGTTCGAGTTGATAGAAAGGCAATAGCAACAACTCGTTACAACTGAGGTATGCAGAAGAGCATCTCTGAACACACAACACGTCTAGTTTTGAGGCGGATGGGCTACATCGGTAGAAGAACACACCGGGTGTCACTCCTGTAAGCTAAGAACAGGAAACTGATGCTACAATTCATACAGGCTCACTAAATTTGAACAATAGAAGATTGGAAAAATGTTGTCTGGTCTGATGAGTCTCATTTTCTCCTGCTACATTTGGATGGTAGGGTCAGAATTTGGTGTCAACAACATGAAAGCATGGATCCATCCTGCCTTGTTTCAATGGTTCAGGCAGGTGGTGGTGGTGTAATGGTGTTGGGGATATTTTCTTGCCACACTTTGGGCCCATTAGTACCAACTTAGCATTGTGTCAACGCCACAGCCTACTTGAGTATTGTTGCTGACCGTGTCCATTCCTTTATGACCACAATGTACCCATCTTTTGATGGCTACTTCCTGCAGGATAACACACTGTGTCATAAAGCGCAAATCATCTCAGATGGGTTTTTTGAACATGACTGAGTTCACTGTACTCAAATGGCCTCCACAGACAGCAGATCTCAATCCAATAGAGTACCTTTGGGATGTGGTAGAATGAAATATTCGCATCATGGATGTGCAGCCGACAAATCAGCAGAATCTGCGTGATGCTATCATGTCAATATGGACCAAAATCTCAGAGGAATATTTCCAGTACCTTGTTGAATCTATGACACAAAGGATTAAGGCAGTTCTGAAAGTAAAAGAGTGTCTATCCTAGTACTAGTAAGGTGTACCTAATAAAGTGGCCGGTGAGTGCATATTAACAACTCATAAAGATTTATAACTACTTGAGGGTGAGTAAATAGTGAGTCAATTAAATTTTTGGGTAGAATATCCCTTCAAGTAAAAATGAAATGTAAATTGTACAAATAGAAACAAATGTATTGTTCAGATTTTTAATACATCAGATACTGACTGATACCTAAATAACGCTAACACCAAAACATAATTATTTCTAAAGGATCCTGTGACATGCAAGACTTGTGAAATGGCTGCCAAAAAGTCAGCTTTGAATCACAGGAATAAATTACATTTAAAGATGTAATAAAACTAAAAAAGTTGTTAAATAAAAATATTTGGAGTAATAATATTTCAGCTTCAACTGCGATGATATTACTGTTTTATCCTGTCAAATCTACAGTACAAGACCACAAGCCCTTGGAAAGAATTTCACACAGCATTATAGAGTGAATGTTAAAAAATAATAAATTCTCTTCCTTTGGGATACAGGACTGTGGTGAACTTTCTAGAGAAACATCTCCTGACAGTCCCTATTACCCAAGATACCTCAATGATCTCTTTCAGGTAGTAAACAAACATTGACTGCTGGATGTAATGAGCATTTTTACATACTGTTTCTGTCTGTTGATTTGTGCTTGTGACGCTAATGAGTGTGATTTCAGAGAAATCAGTCTTTTGATGTTCAAACTAGTGTCAGTCCATCTTTGACTGACAAAACACTTGTAGAACAATCGCAGAGCCTGGAGGACAATGAGCAACACAGAAGAACCGCTTTAGAAAAAAGCATGTAGGTATTTGATTGAAAACTTAAAACATTATTAATAATCCTGCTATACATCTCACAGACCTCATGCTTCACTCACAGATATGTGCTGACAGAGCTGGTAGAAACGGAGAAGCTGTATGTGGAAGATCTGGGGCTTGTTGTTGAGGTTACACATTAATATTTTCACTCACAGTAGATCTTACAAAGTATTTCGTTTAACCCTCATTCTCTGATTTTGCCTCCTCCAGGGTTATATGCTTACAATGAGAAGTTTTGGAGTGCCCGAGTATTTGGAAGGAAAGGACAAAATAGTCTTTGGGAACATTCATCAGATCTACGACTGGCATAAAGAGTAGGTTTACACTTCAGAGGATCTACAGTTGAGATCAAAATCAGAGAACAATTAGATAAACTATTTGAAATTCTTCAGAAAATATTGTGATCTGGCTAGTAGATCAGTGTTTCACAAAATAACCAATGCACTAAAAAAACAGTGGAGGCCATCAGAATAAGATAACAAGGATTTTGGCATATAGAAAACATCTCAAATTATGACTTTCCTTTACACACTTAAAAAAAAAAGTTTGTACCGTCCTATTGTTCATATGTCTTTTATGGACAACCAGCTATTTGAAGGCATTTAAATGAGTTTGAGATATTAACATTTGGGCTGACTAATGTCAGAGGGTTTCAGTCACTTTAGAATGGCTCAGCAGTGAAAACTAATAAATATTGGCTGCCAGATACAGTAAATAAGGTTTCTAAGATAATTAAAGTAATAGTTCACCCAAAAATGAAAGTTACAACATAAATTACTTATCTCCAAGCCATCCTTGGTCTATATGACTTTCTTTTGTCCGATGAACACAGTCAGAGTAGTTTAAAATTTTATCCTGGCTATTCCATGCTGTGTTCTCCAGCCTCCGCGGCCTAGACTGCAGCTCTGTACAGGACGTTTGACCAGAGGAGAAATGGTTGTGCCCAACTGAGCCTAATTTCTATCAAGGTTTTTTTCTTTCACTTTCATCAATTGGTGAAGTTTGTTCCTCGCCACTTGCTTGCTTGGATTGGGACTTGTGGAGCTGCGCATCGATGGATTTGATCTTCAGTGTTTGGACTTTCAGCAGTGAAAGTTAAACCACCCTGAACTGAACTAAACTGAACTCTGAAAACTGGACTGAGATAGTTTCAGTTTTTTATGTTAAGCTGACACAATCTACATTGTAAAAGCGCAAAATAGATAAACATGATAATTGGATTGGCCCGTTTTTTAAAGCTTTTAAGAGTACACAGATCCATTGTAAAATTAACACACACACATGTCTCATGTCTCATAAAGCAAATTTATGTGTTTTGTTCATTTTATTTGTCATGCGTCAAGTCAGAGGTCAGTTCAAGAATGTGTACTTGGCGGCCTCTAGAGGTCAGTGATTTGAGTTTATTATTTATTTAAAAAAATCATATTTTTGTGACAAATACACATAAATTTCCTCAATATGACATATGTTACCCCTCTGGCAGTGTATGTAATGGATCTATGTGCTTTTTTAAAAAGCTTTAAAAACTACTAGCAAACAATATTATACAACATGGAAGAGTCAGGATAAAATTCTAAACTAAGACTGTGTTCGTCTGAAAGTAGAAAGTCATCTACACCAATGATTTAAGGCTAGTGTAAATTATGGGGTGGTTTTCACTTATGGGTGAACTATTCCTTTACGAAATTTATCACCAGATGCAGTAAAACTCAAATAACAGAAATCTGAAAGTTTTTTGATCAGTAAGTTCTCATTTAAGCTTTTTTATACTGTTATTCTGAATATATGTCACTGGTGGAATATGCTTAAAAGCTGCTGTTTTACTTTGAGCTTACAATATAGAAATATACAATATAGGTTATCTCTATATATTGATCTCTTTAAACAGCTATTTTCTTGGAGAGTTGGAGAAATGTGTGTCTGAACCCGACCTGCTAGCACAGCTGTTTATTAAACATGTAAGCATCTTTCCTTCCTTTAATATAAAACGGCAGATTCAACTATTCATATATAATAAAAGCTTAAGTATGTCTGTGTTGCTTAGGAGAGACGGCTCAACATGTATGTTGTCTACTGTCAGAACATGCCAAAGTCAGAGCACATCGTCTCAGAGTACATCGAAACTTATTTTGAGGTAATTCATACTGAAATTTGGGTATAATTAATAAATTATGTGGCAATTTTTACTATTTTGTGGATGATGTAAAAGACTGTATTTGTTTTGTGCTGTCTCTTTATGCAGGATCTGAGGCAACAGCTGGGTCACAGACTGCAGTTAAATGACCTGCTCATCAAACCCGTTCAGAGAATCATGAAATATCAGCTGCTGCTGAAGGTGTGCGCTTGTGCTTTACATAGATACATTCAGTACTCAATCAGTGTTTGGACAGTTTCTTTGAAAATGCTAATGATTACAGAATACAAGTTACATTATTTAAAATACTAAGTGCTATGTATTGCAGCTACAGTAGTCAATACCTGAAGTAGATCACAAATAGTATATATTAATAAATATTAATCATATAATAAAAAAAGAATGAATAAATATAGATATTGTATGTAACTGTAAATAATCTGTATTGTTCAGTACAGATTTAGGTTGTGTGACCATTTCGACGAATAGTTAGAGATCGTTTACACTAAGAAATTTTTGTTTTAAAACAGCGATTTAGAACGAAAACATTCCACGTCCACACTGGCATTTCTGAATAGATTTCCGTGCACATTAAACTGCTGAAAACACACATCACGTAACCATACACACACTCTGGCATACGCTTAAAGCTGCTCAAAGACTATAGAATACACTTAAAAACCTTAAAGGTACTTTGAGCTGCTTCAGCGTATTTTTCGCATCTGAGCTCCAGGCAGTCAGTGGGAGCTATAAGCACACCTGCCCGGCTGAGAGCAGCCAAACGTTGGCCAGTCCTAAATCTGCCACTGGATCTCATCTCTCTGTAGTTGGTAAGCGCGGTCTGTATTTCATCTTGTACAGACCTATATCTAATCCACATTTTAGTCACATTATCACTGTATTTACAGCTAATTAAAAATGTAAGAATTACTGTTGATTATCTTTATAAAATGCTAACAAATGTAACATTTTAATATTGATATCTTACAGTAATACTAAACACTACCTATTGTTAAATTTTCAATACTATTCATATCTTTAATTAAGATTAAAATAATTGAATTTGAAAGCACAAGCCACCATAAAATTTTTAGCACCTCTTTTTTTATTTTGAAATCAAATAAAGATTTAAAATCATAACAAAAAATAATGTGGTAGCTATTATAGAGTTGCTGAAATCAGATCTATGACAGGAAACACTGGCAGTAACAATGCCTTAGAAGTAATTGTTAAATCCCAAATACAAATATATAGACATCCTTAAATCCAAACATTTATTTTAAATCAAAAATTAAGAAGTTATTAATGTAAATACCTTATGTCTGAATTAGTTTAAATCGATTTTGTTCAATATACTGGCAGATATTTGTTATCTTATTAATTTGATAATTAGTTTAATCAATTCTGGCGCTGCTGTGGCGCAGTAGGTAGTGCTGTCGCCTCACAGCAAGTGTATGAGTGTAAATGAGTGTGTGTGAATGCTTCCCAGAGAAAGGTTTGCGGCTGGAAGGGCTGGAAGTTGGTGGTTCATTCCGCTGTGGCGACCCTGGATTATTAAAGGGACTAAGCCGAAAAAGAAAATGAATAAATTAATCAATTCTTAAAGCTAAAAGTGATTGTGTCTTTCTATACTACTTAATGATTTTAATAAAATCAAATATAAAATGCATACATTTACATTTAGATCATATTTTGATGTAGTGTTGACTTCAAGTACATTCATTCATTCAGTTTCCTCTGGAAAATGTTTTATGTTCCAGCATATGTTTTACGCAGCGGATGCCCTTTCAGCCCAGAAACACTCATACAGACTTATTTACACACATTTAGTTTATTCAATTCACCTTTATAGCGCATGAAAACCGGAGCAACGAAACCCACTCGAGGAGAAACATGTAAACTCCACATAGAAATGCCAACTGATTTAGCCGTGACTCGAACCAGCAACCTTCCTGCTGTGATGCGACAGTGCACAGAGCCATTGTGTCGCCCCAATATTGTATGTTTGTAAGTAATACAGGTTGAGCACATCAAGTTGTGTACCATAAATAGCTTTTTGGATGGTATATCTCAGCGATCTGACAATTCAGTAATGCAAATCAAGATTCTTATCATCTCAATTATAAGTATATTGTTACAAAACATCAAAACAAGCCATTTTACATGACTCACAAATGTTTCTGCTCACTGGAATTTACAAAGATAAACATACCGCAACAAAATAATAAAATGCGATACAGTCAAAAACACTACTTACCAAGAAATTAGCAGGTACACATTATTCAGATTAACTTCACTGCATCCAATGTCTGATTGATAACATGATTCCCCTCGCACAAAATGAAAATATTCACGCCTTAAATTGACCAGCATTTGTCCCTAATTGATGCACTCCGTGACACTTTTGACCTTGGTTAGGGCTACCTTGGGCGAAGTTAATGTAAATAGCTTCTGCCAACAAGGAGGGCACTGAAACTTTTAAGCCATCACTGCATTTTCCATATTTATTTCTTCCATATATATGTCTTTCTTCACATTTTAAGAGCTGGTCTAATATCCAAAATGCTTCTAATCCAGTATAAACTGTAAACTGTAAACTGTGCTGATGTGTGTTTATTGACAGGACTTCCTGAAGTACTACACTAAAGCGGGCAGACAAACAGAAGATCTTGAGGTACAGCTTGTACTGGCATATAAAAGAGTGTAAACTCATTATCAGGTGGCGTATTGAATTATTGTTCTGTCCTCTTTTTGTGTCCTTATCACAGAGGGCCGTTGAGGTCATGTGTTTTGTTCCAAAGCGATGCAATGACATGATGAATGTTGGACGACTGCAGGGTTTTGAGGTAAGACACAAATACACTGCTCCAGATTCCAGAATAAACTCAGCATGAGTCCATTATTTCATCAATAATGATCTATTTTACCACTTGTAGTTTTTAATCAGCTTTCTTACCTATATGTGAGGCCAAAGATTGACTCAGATCATAATGATTGGTTCACAGGGTCAGCTGAGAGCACAAGGGAAACTCCTGCAACAGGACACCTTCACATTCATTGAGAACGAGAACAGCATCCTCTCACGTCCCAAAGAGAGACGAGTGTTTCTTTTCGAGCAGCTCATCATCCTCAGTGAGCCAATGGACCGCAAGAGAGGCTTTTCCCTGCCAGGATACGTCTATAAAAACAGCATCAAGGTGAGAAGCTGTAAAGGTAGAGAAATGGGTGATTGTTTGGAAAATAAATGCTGGCAAAAAAAATATTAAAATTATTAAAAATAAGCCAACACAAATTGTAAGGATTAGTTATATTAGGTTTATGTAGGTGATGTACAGTTGTAAGTACATTTTAAATTTTGAATAATAACACATTATGTCAAGTTAACTCTAAAAATAATGTTTGAAAATATTATCTTACAAACTTCCACTATGCCAAAGTCCCTTTAAGGCAAGTCAATTCACTCGGCAGCCATCTTTGCAACACTTTTCAGGCAATATGCTTAAGTGTTCTTACGATTTAAGCTTACGATTAAACTTCATATTAGGAATCACCACTGAAATTAAACATCTGTCTCTTTAGTTTCATTTCTAATCGTTCGAATTACACAAAATCTACAGAAGCTCATGTCTGGTCCAAGCCCTTCCCCTGGAGAATCGTCAGTCTATAGAGGTCAATGATTGGCTTCTGTACTACAAGGCGGGGCTTCATTCTCCATATTAGGGCTGGGTGATAAAATCGCTATTGATATTTATTGACCGAATTCAAGGCCACACTGAGCACGCGCCTTGGAAACAATGGCAATAATCTTAGGGTGTAGTTTGTCATTTCCATTGGATGCGCGCAACTTGCAGGACGTGCGTATTGGAGCGATACGCACATGTTGTGCAAGTGGCACACAAATGACGCAGGTGCATTTTCCATTTTCCAAGTGCACCTATTTCGAATGCGGCGAAAGACACCAGGCGAATGCAAGGTTAACGCATGGTCAAGGAAACGACGCATTCCATTTGTCACTTTAGGTCGGAATAACAATACACGTAGAAATAAGTGTCGTATAGCAGCAGTGAGGTGATTGTAAATAAAAAATTATGTTTCCAGAGTGGCTTTTTGGTTTCTTTTTTGTGCATCCCGGGCACCAGCTCCCAATCTGAAAAAATTTTTTATCACAAGGGGTTATATAGTCATCCAACTTCACAATATGTAATGTTGCAGTGAGTTGCAATTTGTAATGTATGATGTTGGTTCTTTTACTTGAAAGCTCAGATTTAAGTATCATAATTTGTTTTGTTTAAAGAGTTTGACGTTTACTATATCATTATTATTCACACCTTGTGTTGATCTACCTTTACCATTGCACACACTTTGTTACATTTGATTTATCAAGTCTCTTTAACACTTATGTTTATTTTATTATAAAGAGATCAGATATTTTGTTTAAATGTTTTGATTTTGACTATTTGCTTTAGTAATGTTGGTAAATTAAAATAAAGTGGTAAAAATTTTTTTTAAATCCTAATATATCTTAATGTATTGTTAAAAATATTCAAGAATTATCGATATTAAATTATATGAAACATGATATCATGAAAATTATTTTTGCAATATCGCCAGCCCTACGCCATATTAAGTGTTACACTTTTCCCCATTAAAAACGTCACGAGTGGAATTTCTTGTGTATTCTATAGTCTTTTAGTATACATATACAATGCTTCACCCTATTCACAGTGTTTACCCTTGACAAAAAAAAAACATTTGCATAAACATCTTTTTTCTGTATTATTTGTTATATCAGTCATTTTAAAAAATAAATTTTGTGTCCTTATGTTCTGGTCAACTCCGTTATCATCAGTTATAAAAAAGGCATAGCATTGTTTAAAGCACTGGTAAAAAGGTATGTGACTTGCTCCAAATTATGTCACTTCCACTGGTTAGAAACTCTGTAAGGCACTGAAGCATGTCCATTATACTACTCTCATTCATTTGTACAAAATGTTTAGGACAAAACAGAATAGTTGGATAGAAGATAAGATAGTAGATTAATTATATTTTCTTCTGTTATTGTGATAATTAAGTGAATTTCTAAAATGAAAACTGAAAGGAAAACTGCATACAAGTCTGTTTTATAATTGCCATTTGGTATCTGGTTTGAGTTTAGCATCTTGAGTTTAATTACAAAATGCTAGAAAACTCTATTATTGCCAACTCTGTTAGTGGTTTAAAATGTTTACCATTAAGTTAAATAACAATTAGCAACAGAATCAAATGTTTCATATCACATTAACAGTTTACTGAAAATTATACACTGGTTGTGGGATTCCAGTTTAAAGAAAATGAATGGAGCATTCTTGATATTTACCTGCAATTCTGGAATAAGAATGTAAAGTAGAATGGGTGTTGTTCAGGAGTTGTAGGACAACTTTGAGAACTGGTTTTGATCCACTTCTAATGCTGACTACTATGCATACAGTTAAAGTCAAAATTAATAGCCCTCCTGTTTTCTTTTTCTTTTTCTTTTTTTTTTCTTTTTCAATCATTTCCCAACTTATCTTTAACATCAAGAAATTTTCACAGTATTTTGGAAAATATTTCTTTCTTCTGGAGAAAGTCTTATTTGTTTTATTTCAGGTAAAATAAAAAACTTTTTTTAAAAACATTTTAAAGTTAATATTATTAGCCCCTTAAACAGCATTTTTTTTTTATTGTCTACAGAACAAACCATCATTATACAATGACTTGCCTAATTACTCTAACTTGCCCTAATTAGCCTTGTTAAGCCTTTAAATGTCACTTTATGCTGTATAGAAGAGTCTTGAAAAATATCTAGTAAAATATTATATACTGTCATCATGGCAAAGATGAAAGAAATCAGTTACTAGAAATGAGTTATTAAAACTATTATGGTTAGAAATCTGTTGAAAAAAATCTTCCCTCTGTTAAACAGAAATTGGGGGAAAAAAAGTGTACAGGGGGCCGAATAATTCCGGAGAGCTAATAACTCTGACTTTATCTGTATGGGTATATTTGTGTCTACAGATCAGTTGTTTATCCATTGAGGATCGCTGCCCAGAAGACCCCTGTCGGCTGGTGCTGACATCTCGTAATATAGATGGAAGTTTGCAAAAATTCATTCTCCGTGCATCCTCCTCAGAGATCAGAACGTCCTGGGCAAACGACATCATACAGATGCTAGAGACACAGCGCAACTTTTTAAACGGTATCATTATCACAGCTTCCCTGACCATTCTGTGACCTTGCCAGACATTAGACTTCCTAATGGACTCTGCCTCTGTCTCATCCATCACAGCCCTGCAGTCTCCTATCGAATTCCAGAGGAAAGAAATCAAATCCCTCAGTCTGGGAAAGAGCATGACAGCATCAGCCTCACTGAACTCTGGCCTGCGACCCTACAGCTCTGCTTCTATAGACCGTCAGACTCTGCCCTGCCTGCAGTCCTGGCATTCCTCACAACCCTCGACGCCTCCCTGAAAGGTCAGTGGCTCACGTACATTACTCATTTTAGATTAACTTGCAAGAGAACTCCTCATAAAAACATAAACATATTATCACATCATTTTTTAAGAGTTCAGATGCAAAAACTCAAAATGCCATCTAAAATTTTGTCCTGAAATGAGCATTTTCTCAGCCTCCCATGTTAATGTTCAGTTATTTCTTTTTAAAGGCAATGAAAGCAACCATAAGCATGAAGTTACTAAACCCATACAGAGGAGTCTGAGAAAAAGGCTCATTTTAGAAGAAAATTTCAGACAGTTTTTTGCATCTGAACTCTTTTTTGTTTGTTTGTTCTTATCCCAGTTTTAATGTTAGTGAATATAGAGTCAGCTTTTAGTATAAAACATGCCCAAACCATCTCCATATATGGGCTTGCACAAGACTCCCTTTACAGACTTTTGTCACAGCGTTCAACCATATTGCAGTCTCAGACACCTTCTTACCAGATTCTGTTTAAAGAGTCATGGCGAGTCATTCTCAACAAACGTTCAAACAGAGTAAATACTTTTGATTATCTATATGTATATCTGTGTTGTTATTCAAAGAAAACTTATCATGAAATATTTGGAAGAGCTTGTAATTTTTCTTCATCAAAATTTGGACGTTAAAGGATTAGTTTTAGCAAAAACGAAATTTTTGTTATTAATTACAACCCTCATATCTTTATAGTCTCTTGTGTTTATCTTCAGAACACAAATTAAGATACTTTAGATGAACTCAAGAGTTTTCTGAGCCTCTATAGACAGCGATAGTCCAGAGACATTCAAAGTCCAGAAAAGGAAACAAAACATTGTCAATACCTTCCATGTGATTTCAGTGATTGAACTGTAATCATGTGAAGCTCAAAAAAATATGTATGCTTCCACAATTCCAACAATTTTCATGTCATAGCTAACACACATATCGGGCTTTGGGCCTGCTTTAGAAAAACAAAACAAAAAAGTTTAATGAGATCTAATGAGTGTGGTCTGGAAGCGCCAGTGATGCCTTGGGCATAGAGATTTCCAGCCACTTGCAATAGAGAACATGAAAAAAAAAATTGCTAATGGCAAAGCTGTGAAAAATGTTAGAGGAAAGGCAAACTTCTGGTCAACTTTTCAAATAGGTGTGTGTTTACTGCCGGCAATATGCTTTTACTTAAAAAAAAAAAAACTTTCTTTAAAGAAATAATATGAAAAAATTAAGTAAGTTATCTTAAAACATGCAAAGTATTTTATATTTAGATTAAGGATTATTTTGTTTTTCCCATTGGCAGAGTATTTTGCTTGTTTTTAGAAAGAACTCACTTCATTTTTCCATATTATTTCTTAAAACAAGACAAATTCTTTTTTGCTTGTCTTGAAAATGCTTCTTGATTTAATAATTTTTCAATATCAGGACTAGAAACACTCCAAAAATTCATCAGCATTTTTGCAACGTGTTGTGTTGCGCTGTTGACCCTAATGGCAACACGTTGTACACACACAGTGACCCGATGAGGAAAAGAAGACATAGGTGCACATAGCCATGTTTTGTACCACACAAAAGCGTTCTTAGAACGCCATATGTTTACAGTTGAGCTACTGAAATAACAGGGAATGCTTTGACAATATTTTGGTTTCTTTTCTAAACTTTGAGCATCCCTGGACCATTGCTGACCATAGTAGGCCAGAGTGCTCCTGGATTTCATCTAAAATATTTTAACGTGTTCTCATGTTTAAGGAAAGTCTTGGACAGGTGTGTCCAAAGTCGGTCCTGGAGGGCCTGCAGAGTTTAGCTCCAACCCCAATTAGACACACCTGAACCAGCTATTCAAGCTCTTTCTAAGTATACTAGAACATGGGTGTCTAAACCCAGTCCTGGAGGGCCTGTGTTCTACAAAATTTAGTTCCAACCCCAATTTTACACACCTGGGCTAGAGACACTGGACCTCCAAGAAAGAGTTTGGATGACCCTTGTCTTGGGGCTTTAGGATGACATGAGGATGAGTAAATAATAACAGGTTTTTTCAGTTTTTGGGTGAACTTGATTCTTTAAATTCCCAAAAAACATTTAAAGAGATCCATTCGTCCTCATAAGTGTTTTTTTTTTCTTATACATTTCTTTAAAAAAACTAACATACCATTTCACTCAATGTCTGTTATTTGCAGCTTTCTGTTGGTCCTGCAGAGGCACTTTTTCATCTTCCTTCGCACTCAAGATAAAGCAAGACCATTTTACATTACCTGTGTCCAGAAAAAGACTGAATGGAGGAGGTTAAATTATTCATTTCTAATGATTTATAATGTGACTTAAAAGTTATACGATAATAAGTCATGTACTGTAAAGTTCAGGTATATGCATACATGAATTCTTGTAAAAAGAATTGTTCTTTTCTTCTTTCACTCAGATGTTTTCATTAGCAGTGTACAGTATTAGCATTTTGAAATCTGAAAAGTCAATTAAAAGGATGTTAGTTATTCCAGACTCATGTTCTGTGACAAGACAGAAGAAATGGCACAAAACGTTATCACCAAGTTCTTTATCTCATTCCATTCAACAACAAACGTTTTGTTTTTGTTTGTTTTACATTTACAAAAAGAAAGGAAAAAAATGAGAAAAACAGTTCCTCCCTTTATTCTTAAAGGCCTTTTGCATACTCCATTATGTACTTTTTTTTTTAAAAACAACCAATAGGCAGCCACATTTTTGGGGGAGGGTTGGGGGCAGAGAATTAGCAACGTACTGGTAGAGATACAAAACACCAACAGAAACCAGGAGTCATGCAGACACAGTGAGAAACCCAGAGATGAGGAGATAGATTCTTTGCAGTGAATTGAGGAGGAAGCAGGGAGGCTTTTGAGAAACACGCAGTCAATAAACCTGCACTTCTATTCCATTAAGCTCATTAGAAATGAACCATGAGAATCAACCGGCCCTACGCCAACGCTTTTGCATGCTCCCCTTTTAACCATGCTTTCACTTGAATATGCAGGGCAGATTAATGGTCTCCAAACAGCATCAATGCAGCTCTAAAATTAGTTTAGCAGGACTACATCCTTTACTTTTTCTAGCCCACAACAAGCTCAGTGACTTGCACACAGCGATAAAGCATTTTTGGGAGCGTCACGGGGCATTTGGGTACAAAACAAGTGCGCAAGAGTTAGTTTTTAATTCCTTTATACACCGTTATATTCAATGTTTACTCATTATGTAATAAACCTCTCGTTGTTTTTACACGTTCATATCCTGCATCTCTTTTAAGGCTTTTTGGACAGCCGTGCACATATTTACTCTAGTATGGCACCATTTTTTGTTTTAGACAAAAAGAAAGAATTATCACACGCCCAACAAACATTCACGCGCAGAGGTCTACTCTTTGACAAGGCCATAATGCTTTTTGAAGAATTGGTGGTGCAATGGATAATGCAGCAAACAGTCATTTGGGCCTCATGTTCATGAGCGATGGTGAAAAGTTTACTTGATGTACTTTAAAAAACTCGTTCTTTCTCTCACATACGCACATAAAACAAGCAATATGCAAACACGCATAACTAAAATACACTCAAGGATGGTTTAGACAATGAATTACATGCTTTTACTCTTACAGAAGTTGGCTGCATTCAGTCTGGATATTTTTTTATATTATTATTTTTATTTCCTATCAATTACACGGTTCAAACCAAAGATTTGGACACATTTGAATTGTTTCTTATTATCTTTTAATCTTATTTATTAATTTTTGTTGAGAATCGATAGATTAATCAGTTTGGGTCAGATTAAGACGAGACGTCAAATTTTGCTGTTTGCATCAAATTAAATTTACGAAAGTTTTTTATATACATAATTCAAACAAAAATTTTCAATAACTTTGTTAAATACGGGGGAAGTAATGTCATTTAGCATAACGGATACACTACCGTTATAAAATCTGACCTCTACGTACTAAAATGTAAAACAAAACAAGAAAAGAGACAATTTTTTTATTCATAATGACTCAAAATTTAAGATAAACCAAAAAGGGAAAGTTTAAAATGATAAAAAAGGACATAATCAATACGAGACATTTTTTCATGCTTAAAAAAACCCTTTAGTCTTTGACCTATTTACATCATACTAAAAAAATTACTATTTTTAAAAAAGTAAAATACATTAAAAAGCCCCTAAAAAAAAAAGTTTTTAAATCCCTAAAAAGTTTTTAAAATTGAGCTTCCATGCAATGTGCAACAGCTCTAAGTGAATGAAAACATCCAGCTGAGGTTTAAATCTGAAAGTGCACCATGTTTAAAGCTATTGATTCTTTAACAAAATAGGCGACTTGCATGCATATCAGCCTGTTGTTGGTGACCCCCAACACCAAAATGTGACCTTTTATAATGCAAAATAAGAGCTTTGTAAGTAAATTTGAATAAATTAAGGGACCAGGTTTGGCTAATTGTCATTTTGATTATATTCAATATTTCTTTTTTCTAAAAATATTTTTTTTTCTCTTTTCTAAATTGATCATAAAATATGGAAAACAATATTAAACAATTAGTATGTGTCCAAATTTTTGATACTAGCATATTTATTTTCACATCTGAGAGATTCTATCAACTTGTTTGTTTTGTTTTAGTAAGCTTAGTCTCAGCCATTCTGTAGAGCAAAAGCCTCTGACTGGACTCAAAACTAGCTCAAACAAAAGAAATGTCTTTATATTAAGTGCCTTTGGAATATACGCTTATGATAATGACTGCTAACTAATAAATAAAAACTAGCATCACATCGCTCTGCCATTAACTCAGGCATGCATTGCAGTACAATGAGACACAATCTTAAAAAAACCCGGCAATCAAGACAAATAAATAAAAACAAACATACAAAAAATAAATATGTTTCACCAGGACAGTGATTAAGCCTTTGGCACAGTCATTCTTAAGAACAGAAAAACACAAAAGTTCTTACTGATGTATCCCAAATCCCCCCTCTGTCTCTCGCTGAGAAATCTGTGGGAGTGTGTATGTGAGAGGGAGAATATATGGCGATGACAGTGATATGTTGGATTGTCTGTGGTTTGATGTCCAGTCTGTTCCTTTTTTTCAGTGACTCTGAGGGTCTGGTCTCTCCAATTGAAGTCCATTTGTTTTAGTGCAAACGTACAGAGAGACGACCCTCAAAACAAAATGAAACACACACATACGCATGTACACACACAATTAATGCCAGGCAGGGAGCAGATGTGACATTCAATGCGAATATCCCAAATGACGTGTCTCCCTTTATCTATATTTAAAAATTCTAAAAGATTCAACGCATTTACCTCCTCAGTCTTCTCTTTGCTCTTCAGCTTCAAAATAAACGTTCTCCTTGGTTTATAGGACTATTGGGCTCAAAAATTTAAATTCTGTCATTATTTAAAGGGGTCTTTAACAAATCATATTTTATAATAATAATTTTAAAAATTATTAGGTTACAGTAACAAACTGTAAAAAAAATCTGTAATTGTACGGTTTATTTACAGCTGGGGTGCAAAAAAAAAAAAAAAAAAAGTAAAATAACGGCCATTAAAATACAGACATTTACCATAAAATAACGGATATTAAATTAGACATTTACCGTAAAATAACGGATATTAAATTAGACATTTACCGTAAAATAACGGATATTAAATTACAGAAATTTACAACAAAATTTAAAATTTAAGGAAATTTCTGTAATATTACGTCCATTATTTTACTTTTTTTTTTCTCGGCACAACAGCTGTCAGAAATAAGCCATAAAATTACTGATTTCTTTTACAGTGTAGTAATAGGCTAATTTCTGTCCTGTTTCGACCTCCGCATATGTACACACTGCTTGAAAATGCGTGGCAGATTGTAATCTGAATGACTAAAAGTTTGCATGTTTAAAAATTAAATAAAGATTAGGTGCCAAAGATGAAAAGGATAGATGTGTGCCAACTAGGGCTGCACAATATATAGTTTCAGCATCCATATCACAATGTGATCATGTGATCATTCGACAATAGTCACATTGCAGGATCTGCAAAGTTTAGCTTCAGTTTATTCATTCCTCAGGAAATTTGAGTGGAAATATAGCTGACCAAGAACCAGATTGTTGAGTGTTTGTGAAGTTTCAACCTACTAGAGTGAAATAGTGCCTGTTTGCTTTGTTTTAAGGACTATGCATGATTTCAAGTGCATTTAAATAGTTTGCGTACAAGAAATTATAACAATTTAACTTTTATACAATGAAGACTGTGTACTTTTATTTGCTTACATTTAATTATTCAACTTACACAAACAAATCTGGCCTATGAAATCATCCCAATCCAAATAAGATGATGAGTTCTTTTCAAACTGAGCTATTCAAGTCATCTGGTGAAATAAATAAAATCATATTGCAATAAATATCGAAGAAAAACGAAATATTGCAATGTCAGATTTCCACTATCGTGCAGCCCTAGTGCCAACCAATGCAATGTGTGGTGCGACATTAATTTTGAATGCAATTTAGTGACAGCATTTTTGTTTCAATCTTTCTGAAAAGCCACCATTGAATTGTGTTTTGTTTGTAAAACAATCCACAATAAAAAAAAGTTTGATGAAGTTGAAATGAAGTTAAAAAGGACCTAAAGCAGTCTACAACTACAATATAAATACAGTTTATCCAATATTTCCTGATGTTGGGATGTTTTTCCACATGTTTTTCCCACAATTTATGCCATTTGTTTGTCCGACAACAGCCTAAATCAGTGGGTGGGGCTAAACAGACAGTGAAGCAAGCAGTGGTCTTCAATAGTGGAGGCGGAGTTTAACCACACTATTACATCATAGAGTGACTCATTCACAACTGATTATTTTGGTAACCTGGATTCAACGCAAGCTGTTTTAGACTAATGGGCACACTGAGTTCTGAAACTTAGAGAATATTTTTATACCTCAGTGACCTCTTAAATGTCAAAAGATCAAATGAGTTTTGACTTGTCAGTTCACCACCCCGTTTGGTTGAGTAAATAATGACAGAATTTACGTTTTTGTGCTCAACCGGACCTTTAAATGTGATGAATAAACACGGTTGGCTGAGGAGAGGAGAAAAAGATATCATTTACGGAATGGTTTGATCTGTATCTAAAGAATTCTTTTGAACAAAATAAAGCTAAAGAAAGGAGAGACAAAAATACGACATCTTCAGGTATCAAAAAAACTAATCAGCCATCACTGTGCGTCTCATCCGTCTGTCATGTCCGATCACATTAGGACTCTTTCCGTAAGAAGAGGCCTATTTGAGCTCCCCCAATGGGGCCGTATACAGTAGATGCACCTCCAGTGTCTTCACGGGCCCCTTTTAGCGACTCGGGGAGAGAGTGTTCGTTTGAGGGAGGACGTGTGAAAGGAAAGAAGGCATAGTCAGGGTGTGTTCAGTTGTGTGTTAGACACTGAAAGCGGTTTTTGAAGTACAAGAGGCCATTTTTGGTGTGCGTCGCATCGGATGAAGCTGGAGGGTAACGGAACTTTGCGTACGTTTTGTCGCTTTCCGATTGGCCCCAGGGCAGCTTGATCTTAGTGGCGTGGTTCACAATGACATCATCACACGAACCAACATGCAGAGAGCCGAGCCCATCGATGAAAAACTCTGGAGAACAAAATAGAGAAATTAGGAAGCTAGCTTTGTCCCACAGAGTCATGGTGTTTTGGTGTGTTTGTAATAGAGCTGCAAGATTCTGGAGGAATTGACCCTTCACAAGACCTGCACCCTTGCTATATTTGCTCCCACTGTTAATTCATGCACTCTCCAGGGAAATTATTAACAATTTCTGAAGAAATGACACAAGCTGACAGAAAGGTTTGCAATATGATATACTGTATTTAGGATGTGAAAGTGACTAACTTAAATTAACTATTGAAATTAGCTATTCAAAATAGGGATTGAAGTTATAGAGTTACAAGTTACATCTGTCACTGGGGCGAGAACGTTTCCAAAGGGACATTTTTGTTTCAGGTTTATATGAATTAATAACAGGTACATATTAATATCTAAAAAGTATAAATTTGTTCCTCGTAATACCATAAATAGACATAAGTGAAAACTAAAGGTACAAAAGTGTACACTACTTGCTAAAGTCTTGTTGTTAACCCCAGTAGTAAGAGCAGCAAATATTAACTTGACTTGTCGTTGGTCAGTTGGAAAAATGGCAGAAGGTAGATTTTCCTGATGATTCATCTGTTGAACTTCATCCCAATCATCACAAATAATGCAGAAGACCTACTGGAATCCGCATGGACCCAAGATTCTCACAGAAATCAGTCAAGTTTGGTGAAGGAAAAATCATGTTTTGGGGTTTTATTCAGAATGGGGGCGTGCA